GAATCAGGTGCTCATCCTGTTTGCCTGTGAATATTTTTGATTCGAGGGAAGCAGTCTAGTTTGCTTTCCCGAAATGTAGACTGGACTTTAGTAATCATAGGTAATATAATTAGAAACTGATTGCAGAAGAACAATAAAACCACATCAAGGTGCTTGAATTAATACACATTAAGCAAAAGCCATAGATTTTGCTCGATAAAATTACGCAATTTGCACGCGCAGATGTCATGCGCTCTAGTCTAGTGCAAATATCGCCCACTTTATGTACTGAATTGACAATTGCCAGATTACTCGTCATTTAATTATTCTACGCCCACATTTCAGTTGCGCGTGTTTTTTTCTTTTGTTCACTATTCTTTGCATGGACTAGATTACTAGCACCGTCTAAGTGTGAAGTCTGTTGGTTTCATCAGTATCCGTCTATGGCCGTGCTTGTGCGATATTTGTGTTATAACAGGCTCATTTTCCAATAATTGCCATAGCAGGTTCCGTAATTTGATTACCGTGTTTGGCACACACATTTCCTGATACCAATTATTGTTTCCAAATACTTGGTTAGGAACTCCATGTAGGTAAAGATCCATACCTTTCATTTGAACCTTTCACTTACCGCGATTGTGTGATAGATGTAGTCTAAAAACCAGTTTTCTGACGATATTAGATTCGAGCTGAAGATATATTCTGAAGTAACGCTTTTCTCTTGAGAGGCTATTGTCGCAATCGTGTTAGCCGGGAATCTGTAGACTGACTTAACGTTGGAAGAGGTCAAGCGCCAGGTGTGTGATTGCTCGTAATTACCTGGAATTCACCGCATATACGTAAAAATGTTCATGCAATGAAGTATAAAAGAACTGAATAATGAGGCCTAGTATGATTTCGTTTTGTTGGCCTCGTAGTGCCTGACTCACATATGCATGTCCAGAATTCGCAAATTCACGCATCGAGTAAATTGGATTCTATTTTATGATATTAAGGCATGCAGAATCAACAAGGTCGTGATTTAAAATGATAACACCGAGTGGGGATCTGGCATTTCCCAGAGCGAGTTAGAGTCCTGGGTTTATTTACTCAACCCCCCTACACACGCTACCTTATTTGGTGAGTCACCCACGGTACCCTGCTGAGTTCCCCATCTGTGTTACTCCGCCTTAAGCCAGGAGATCTAGATTATACCTGATATAAATTGTTGGGTGCTGAATGACAGATTTTATGGTCTGTCATGCTTTGCCTTACATCAGCGTGTGAAGGTGGAGTGTAGTTTTAAACAAAGGGTTTAGTTTACCGATTTACTGAATGTGTGCTTCTTGTTTACAGGTAGAACTTAGTAATTGACGACGCAGTTGCGATGGGCGCTAAAGGAACTCGGTTAACTTCTTTCAATGCTAGCAGATGTCCTAAGTTCTGAAGGCCACTATCACCAGCACGCCGTCTCCTGATGGCCTTGCTGACAGTATTTTGGAGTTCACGTATGGTCAGGAAAGTTGCGTAGCACTTGAGGCCTGGTACCGATCTGGCATTCCCCCGAGGGGGCTGGGATCCTGGCATTATTCAAATTCCAGAACTTCTGTTGGTGTTGTCGAGTCGTTGAACCACTAGCCAAGATCATGAACCTTGTGTTGATTAGAATTGCTTTACTGTTCCACTCGTTGATTTTTGCAGCATAGTTTATTTGAATATATGTTATCCAAGGCCAAATTAACTTTGTGAATATGCTTTAATCTTGATCTCAAATGCAAGATTAAACATGCATTATTTTAGTTCAGTTGATCTTTACAAAATATCCACACAATTATTTCCATCATGAATTAAACTTCGGTTATGTCTAACATACAAATCTTTTCTTTGCGTTTTGTAGATACACTCTCTGGAAATGAAAGCACTTGTTGTTGAATGTGTGTCCCATTGCCGTCACAAATACCTGATCTTACGCAATATTTAATAAACAGTGGCATTGAGGCAGCGACTAAATTGTTATATGAGAAAAAACGGAATTTTTCGATATTTTCGCTTTGGCAGTGGAATCTAGAAAATATAATTATTTCCAGAACACCTGTGACGGTAGTAATTATAAACTTGTGAGTATTATATTTTGTCTAACAATCGAGCTAGTAGAATCACTAAGGCAGATGACATGGTTATTAATTTCCAAGCATTTGGCTTCCTCAAAGGAATCAGATTTGAGCCACGATTATTATTTTTTCAATCGCTTAAAGTTAGATTAAATATGATTTAATTCACAGATATTAAAGCTTAATCCAAATAGCGGTCACTTTTCCTTGTTTTTTCATAAGTAACAAGTTTCATTTTTTAATGTTAATCGAAGTTTGCTTCGGTAATTTTTAGCTAAATAAAAAATGCGAGAAAAATTAAATTTGCACTGGAATTTTTCAATAAGATCAGCTGTTAAACAGTAATGGCATAAGGTTCCTTCAAGTGATATATTTATTTTTCATTGTCATCAGTTCATTTTCCTTGTTGGTAAAAATATTATATTTATGTCCTGGAGTTGCTGAAATAATAAATTATCCACAGAAGAGGAAACTAGCTTTAAAGTCGACCATTTTATATACTTTGAATTTCTTGTTACTATATCTAGTAACAGTAGGCCGACATCAATGAAAAGGAATGAATTTAAATAGTGAACACACATTTTATGTGGATGAAATAACTAGTTTTATAACTCACTGGAAGGCCATTTAAAAGAGAACGCAATTACAATCAGTGCTTACCGCAGTCAGGCTGCTTTTTAATAAAAATGTCATGAAAAGAAGACGCTGGAACCGCACAGGCTAACCACAATAGAATCACATACGATAACTTCTAGAATGAAGATGACGACGCTAACGACCACAGCCAACCTTCCTGACTACCAGTTTGCTACAGACGATTATACCGCTTCGATTCCCGCTTACATTTCTCCCATCACAACCACACCACCGTCGACCACAAACACGGCATCTGATGACCAGTCTCATACCGATAACCATACTGCTTCAAATCCAGCTGATCTATCTCCCACGAAAGCCACGGCACCATCGACTGCTATCGCATCATCTGATAATCAGTCTTATACCGATGACTATGCTAATTCGAATCTAGCTGACATATCTCCCACGACAACCGTGCCACTATCGACCACAAACACGGCATCGAATGACATGCCTAATACCGATGGCTATGCTGCTTTGATTCTAACTGATATTTCCTCCATGACAACTACGCCACCATCGACCACAAACACGTCTTCTGATGGCCTCACACTTATTGACGATCACACTAATCCAGTTCACACTGACACATTCAGAATAACGCGCACGACAACATTAACCACAAGCACGTATTCTCAAGATCAAACATCGTCTATTAACTCTACTGCCTG